CCACAACGCCCGGCTATTTTTTGGTTGCAGCCATCATCGTTGTTTGGCGGGCCCGGGCTAGAGATTCGAACCCGCCACCTTAGGTGTATGTGGCTGGCGCCTTAGCCACTTGAGCCACAGGCGCCAAGCCCGTCCTCTTTTCTTATCACTGCAGGCTCAGACTGCCCTGTTTCATTGGCTGCCTGTCCAGAAGATTGGCCTCTATTGGTTGCCACTAGAGGTAGCATTTCCACTGACAGTGAATCCAATGGAGGCATGAGCTTTGTCCTCTCCATGGGTGCCACACTGCTAGGTGTCTCCCAGATGTGCCCCCTGCCTATCCTGCATTAAGGTGGGGGGGCACTGGGGATGCCCGAAGAGGGGCCAGCAGCCTCAAGAAGCCTCTGGTGCTTGCGAAGGTGCTTCCTTCTCTCGTGTTCCCCTGTGACTTCACAAACCAACTGGGCAGGGAAGGCCCCAGGAAGCCCCTTCAGCCAACCTGGGGAAAGAGAGACAGGGGCCCAAGTGGGTAGTGGCAGGGAACAGATAAGGAGGGAAGGGGGCCCTATGGGAGTCTCAGGCCTTGGGTGGGGGGTCATGGTGGGCATGAAATTAGTGGAGAAGCCTTGAGCATCAGAGGTGGAGGTGACAGCAGCATTAGAAAGAGTCTGCATCACTCCTCTCTCAAGCCCTGCAGTGGTTGTTCATTGCAGAGTAAGAGGCTGAGTCCTTACAGGGACCTGCCAGGACCTACATGCTCTGGTCTCTTTTACTTCTGTGACCTCATTGCTTCTCCCCTTTTCTTGCTCCCTCTAGCCACACTGGGTCATACAGCCTTTGCACTGCCTATCATCTCCAACTAGGACATTCTTCCCCCAAACACTATGTGCCTAAATTTCTCACCTCCATCAGATTTACTTACATATTGCCTTCTCAATGAGTTCCACCTCAGCTTCCCTATTTAAAATTAGAACCAGCTTGGTGCCCATAGCTCAGGGTTTGGGCACTGGCCACATTCACAGAGGCTGGCCAGTTCGAGCCCAGCCCAGGGCCTGATGAACAACTTCAACAAAAAGTCCCTGGGCATTGTGGTGGGCACTTATAGTCCCAACTACTTGGGAGGCTGAGGCAAGAGAATCTCTTAAGCCCAAGAGTTTGATGTTGCTGTGAGCTGTGATGCCACAGCACTCTACCAAGGGCGACATAGTGAGATTCTGTACAAATAATTTTAAAAATAAAAACAAATAAAAATAAAAATATAACCCTGGTTGGGCACAGTGGCTCACACCTGTAATCCTAGGACTCTGGAAGGCCAATATGGCTGGATTTCTTGAACTCAGGAGTTTGAGATTAGCCTGAACAAGAGCAAAATCTCATTTCTACTAAAAATAGAAAAACTAGCTGGGCATTGTGGTAGGCACCTATAGTCTCAGCTACTTGGGAGACTGAGGCAAGAGGATCACTTGAGTCCAGGAGTTTGAGGTTGTTGTGAGCTATGACACCATAGCACACTACCTGTACTGAGACAGGGTGACAGAATGAGACTCTGTCTCAAAAAAATAAATAAACAAATTAGAACCTACCTAACTCTGGAACTCCTGACCTCCTCTGCTCTGCTTCATTTTTGTTTTTCCATTGCACTCATCACCTTCCAACATCCTTTATAATTTACCTATTTATTTTGTTCATTCTTTATTTCCTGTCTTTTCCATTAGGATGTCTCCAGTAGGGCAGGAAGCTTTGTGTGTTTTGTCCGCAGTGCCTAGAATAGTGAGTGGCACTTCCAAATTCTTAACAAATACTTAACCAAATGAATAAATGAAAGACTCTCTCACCTTCTGGGCTCTTGTGCAGATGCTTGGGGGCAGCCCTGGACTCCAGACTCTGTCCCTCAGTCTTGGAAGGTGTAGACAGCTCTGAACACAGTTCCTGGGAACAGTCTGGTTGGGGGTGGATGATATTACAGTGGGATCAAGACTCTTTCTAGCTTCTTCCCCATCTTCCTCTTCCCCCCCAGGAGAACTCACCACAGTCCTCATAGATGGTGTCTGGGGAGCAGGGAAGAGGACCAGGGGTTGGAAAAGCTCCTAGCCAGCGCTGCATGTCTGATCTGGGGGGGGGGGGAGGAGGGGTCTTAGTTGGTCCAGGAGATCCTCCTAGGGATGAGGCAGAGCCCTTTGATGAAAGAGATTGACTAAGGAGGTGGTGGGGTCTGAGAGGTCAGGAGGACCGTGAGGAGGGTGTTTTCTTTTGCTTTTGCTTTTTTTTTTTTTTTTTGGCTCACAGAAACCTCAAACTCTTGGGCTCAAACCATCCTCTTGGCTCAGCCTATCAAGTAGCTGGAACTATCAGCAAGTGCCACCATGCCTGGCTAATTTTTCTATTTTTAGTAGAGACCGGTTTCAGTCTTGCTCAGTATGGTCTCCAACTCCTAAGCTCAAGTCAGCCTCCCATAGTGACAAGATTACAGGAGTGAGCCATCGCCAGGGCCTCAAGGGTACTTTCTGAAGATGCAACTTACAGGGATGAAGCTTGAAGTAGCCGGTGAGTGGGGCGGCCCTGGTGATTGCTGAGAAGGGAGAGGCGGAAGGTCGGGGGTCCAGATGGGTCCGGAACCTGCTGGGCCTGGACCAGGGAGCGATGGGCATAGTCCAGAACCTGTAGCCGCTGCCCACTGCCCCGGGGAGGAGGACGTTCAGAGGAAGAGCAGGGCTCCAGTAGGGTGCCCCCTCTCCACTCAGCCTGGGCTCGCTCCCTCCCTCCCTAGGACCCACCTCTTGGGCTGAGCGATGAGCAGCAGGTCGCTAAAAAGCAGCAGGCAGAGGGGGGTGAAGCGGGGGCGCGAGGTGAAGAGTACGCCCCCCCTCCGACACCCTAACTCGGTCAGCTCCCCCTGCAACTCCAGGCGCCGTGACCAGGAGACCAGGGGCAGGGCCTACAAGGAAGCAGAGGAGGTTGTAGCTCCGCAGCCCTGTGGGGAAGGGCAAGACCAAGAGTCTGGGCGGAGACCCACCTTGACTTTGTGGAAGCGCAGCCTTTGGGTGAGCCGAATCAGCTCTTCTGTCTGCTTCATGCGCCCCACCTCTGCGCTGCAGCGCTCAATGATCTGGGTGAGGAGAGCTGTGTCACCCAAGTCACCCACCCCAGTGATCAGCCCCCAGCCCCCTTCTCTCTCTCCCTACTACCCAATCACCTCTCCCAACTCCAGCTTCCTTCCTGCCCACCTTGCTGACAGCACCCAGGGCCTTCTGGGCATTCTCTTGGCGGCTGGACCCCTCCTCTGTCTGACGCAGGATATTCTGGGGACAAGTAGAAAGGGTGACTGGGCCCCCTGCTCTACAGCCCTGGGATTCAGAGGGGCCACAGCTCAGAGGACCCTGCCTGTATTGGTGAAATACTCAGTTTGGGGTTCACAGGGGTGAGGGATCAACTTCAACAAGGCTAAGAGACCTCACCACTTGCTGTCTCGCATAACCCTGAGCTAGTCATATTGCCTCTCTGAACCTCACTTTCCCTATCAGTAAAATGGGGGTATTATACCCACCTAGCATACCAATAACATTGTTGTCAGGATTCTTGGGGGTAACATATGTAAAGTGCTTAGTATAGTCCTTGGCACATAGTAAATGCTGAAAAGAGCATTGCTCTTATTTTAATAATTATTAACCACAACTGTTAGTGCAAACAACATAGAAGAGACGTTTAGGATGCCTGGCCTACAATTTTGTGTCCATCCATTATTTCTGTATAACCTGGACAAGTCATTTAATCTGTGCCTCAGTTGTCTCATCTATGAATAGGGGAAATAATAGCTCTACCTTCACACAGTTGTTGGGAAGGTCACATCCCTACGTAGCACTTAGAACTGTGCCTATAACAGCGCGCTCATTAGCTGTTGAGCTACTGTGATTAAAATCATTATTATCATTGTATTATCTACACTGGGGATAACAATGTTGAATACTTGTGGGCTCTTTACATAAAGATCCTCACAGTGGATGACCTGGTTAGGGAGGAGTCTCTACATTGCAATAAAAGAGTGTTTCTCAACCTTTTTTTTTTTTCCATTATCACCCCACTAAGGAGGCTTTTTGAAAAAATTTCCCTGAACTTCCCCTCCACCAAGAAATTTTAATTCTACAGATACACTGTGAAACTGACTCTTTCTTTTTCAGTGTTTTTTTTTTTTTTAAATAAGGTCTCACTCTGCCACCCCAGCTAGAGTGCAGTGGCACCACTATAGCACACAGCAACCTCAAACTCTTGGGTTTAAGTGATCCTCTTGCCTCAGCTTTTCAAGTAGCTGGAGCTAACCAAGAGGCTGCACCACCAGGTCTGGCTGATATTTCTAAATTTTGTAGAGATAGGGGTCTCACTCTTGCTCAGGCTGGTCTTGAAGTCCTGAGTTCAAGAGAGCCTCCTGCCTCAGTCTCCCAAAGTGCTAGGATTATAGGCCTGAGCCACAGTGCCTGGCCTGTGAATCTATTTGGGCACCATGGCCCTTTGGAGTAACAAAACTATTAGAATGTCTAAGATATTTTCACCTCCGAGAGCCAATTTATGCTCCTTTAGAGGTGATATCACCCCCTTTAGGAAGGTATTTGCAGATAGGACAATACAGCTGGAGGACACGTCAAAAGCCCCTCACCATAATCTCCCTAAGACCCAGAGAGGGGAAGGGACTTGCCCTATGTAGCTCATCTAATTAGTGGCAGAGCTAAGTCTAGAACTCATGGCTTCAGCCAGAAAC